GTACACTGCTCCGCATAATTATAAAGCCACCTATGTTTCCTGCAAAAACTTTTTTCCTAAGATGCGTTCGAGGAAGCTTCTATATGGAAAAGGATGTAGGTATGAATGTTCTTTTGCACACCAGCACAAAGTTCCAGCTTTGAAATTTGAAGAGTGTTTTTCTGCAATTTTTCGAAAAAGCCGCTCTGACCTATTCCGCATAATTATAAAGCCACCCCATACTTTCTCGTTGCCTTTCCTTCCTGCTCAATTGAATTTTTTTGTTGTTATCCACACTTCGTCTTTAGGTGAAAACGAGAGGAAAACCGTCACCATAATCTGAATAAAGGGAAATCGTAACAAAAATCGTGAAAGAGTTGAGAGGCAGTCGCACAGCCCAAATTTCGGGCCAGGTTCGCTTCAGAGAAAACAATTTCTTCGAGCATAGTGTAGGATATGGAGTAAAATTGAGCCTTGGAGATCGTCCTTTGCTTTCGGATTCAGATACACGTCGTCTCATGAGAAAACCAAACAGTTCCATCAAGTTGTGCTCGAAAATCAAACCTTACTTGGAATTCAATTCTCCATCCGGTGTCTGTTCAGCGTCTGTGGCAGAACTGCAGGTTCATTCGCGAGTGAGAAATGTAAAGCGCATTGTTTATGACAACAAAAACATCTCACTCAAAAAAAGTGAGGCAGTTCCTGTCAAAAGTAGAGCCGAACCTGACTGGATTGAGGCGTTTTTACCTTGTCATAAATCCTAGCGCCTTGTCTTCCTTTCTCGAAACATTTTCTTACTCTAGATAACTTCTTCTTATGAAGAAGCGTATCCTGGAGATAAAGAACTTTGGAAGAAAGGCAGGTGTATCGTGAGAAATGACAGATAAAAAACCGCCCTCACTCCAGTCAGCTCGGCTTCACTTCTTGAGAAAACTGTCTCAGTTTTTGAGATGTTTTGTTGTCATAAACAATGCGCTTTACATTTCTCACTCGCGAATGAACCTGCAGTTCTGCCACAGACGCTGAACAGACACCGGATGGAGAATTGAATTCCAAGTAAGGTTTGATTTTCGAGCACAACTTGATGGAACTGTTTGGTTTTCTCATGAGACGACGTGTATCTGAATCCGAAAGCAAAGGACGATCTCCAAGGCTCAATTTTACTCCATATCCTACACTATGCTCGAAGAAATTGTTTTCTCTGAAGCGAACCTGGCCCGAAATTTGGGCAGTGCGACTGCCTCTCAACTCTTTCACGATTTTTGTTACGATTTCCCTTTATTCAGATTATGGTGACGGTTTTCCTCTCGTTTTCACCTAAAGACGAAGTGTGGATAACAACAAAAAAATTCAATTCGAGCAGGAAGGAAAGGCAACGAGAAAGTATGGGGTGGCTTTATAATTATGCGGAATAGGTCAGAGCGGCTTTTTCGAAAAATTGCAGAAAAACACTCTTCAAATTTCAAAGCTGGAACTTTGTGCTGGTGTGCAAAAGAACATTTATACCTACATCCTTTTCCATATAGAAGCTTCTTCGAACGCATCTTAGGAAAAAAGTTTTTGCAGGAAAACATAGGTGGCTTTATAATTATGCGGAGCAGTGTACAACAGAAAACGGAAAAGCGAATAAAACTTCATTCTTGCTCATCTCAAAGGCATCTTCTCACAGAAAAATCTATCCTATTTCATAGCGCGGAACCATCAACAATGCCTATTTATCTTATACAGGCTTGAGAATCTTCATCACAACAGAATGAAAGCCACCAGAAAAATTGCATTGGTTCTGTAAAAAAAAAAATCGAAAACTGCCTGATGCGTAGCGCTTCTCTGTCGTCCCCATCGATTCCTCAATTTGTGCACCCCAAATACGTAACCACGCCGCGACGTAACCGTTCAATTCGAAACCACCCTTCCGGGCTCATCCTACCTCGGAGTTGCTTACCCGACACACGCTCCAGGCCAAATAAGATAAATTCGTGTGGTTTGTACCCGAAAGCTCACTACAGAAGAAGTACAGGACCTTTTTCACGGAGAAATACATTACAGTTGAAATCCTTTTAGGAATCCAGCATTCCAGAATTGAGCCCACATTTGGATGACGATTTGCTTTTAGTTGAGCATGCCCGATTGGTGTTTCGAAGCAAGTCAACAGCGCCGATTCACAGAGGAAGGAAGCTAATTTTGTCTGTGATTGGAGGGATCGATCTGATAGCCCGTCTGGCGTTTCACCTGAAACAATACACCTGGTCCATAGTGTCGCCTCCCTGCCCACTACTGGAAGCCTATCAACAGAGTATTCTTCCCACTCATTGACACATTTCATCAACCCCGCCCCTGCACGAGTGTCAAGACTCGACAGCTCTCATTGTTATCCACTATTGTTAGCTCGCGGCGGTAAGGGTGTAGTGGCACGCTTACTACGCGCGCGGTCCGGGATCAAATCCTGGGTCGTGAGTCGCCCGGGCCAACCAAGCCTTCCATCCCTCCGGGGTCGGTTAATTGGTACCAGACTTGTCTGGGAGGAAAAAACACTGACTTGAACATCGGCTGGCCCCCGCAAGTCATTGTATAGGCCACATCGCAATGTCAAATGCCACTGCGAATTCGTAGCATAATTGGAGTAGAACTGCGTGCGCATTTCCCATGTCAAACGGCGATGCAATTCAACGCGAAAATGCTTTATCTTAGCTTATGTTTATCCTTTATACTATTGTTTCTGGACACTTTAGCTTTTTTCTCTTTCCCCATTTCTGTAATAGAAGGGAAATGTTCGATGAGAGCTAGTCTGATGCGCCGTCCCTTTTCACCGTTTTCCAATTCGGTTATTTATTCCAAAGGTGCCACGTACCTCTTCTGCTTCTCTAATAGCGGTCTCCTGCAGATTCTCGTCAGCGTCACGCATTCCACCCGGAAAGCACACCTCTCCCGGGTGTCTTCGCATTTCATCAGACCGAATACATAAAAACACTCGATATTCCTCTGGGGTTCCATCGAGCAGAATCAGCACTCCAGCGTCCTGGAAATCACTACTTATCAGTTATTTATAGGGATACGCTTTGAGAGAAATGCTTTGTACGGACCTGTCTGCCATCCGGAATGCCGGGCTCGCTGGACAGACGAAGCAAACCACGTAGGTCGATCGCATTCATCTTCGGTCATTCCAAGTTCTCTCCTGGAAAAGGTGCCATTGTCAAGTAAACGATAACGATCTGTGCCGCGTGGTTACGAACGTGAATGTCTCATTAATAATTCTCGTGAGGGAAAAAACCGTTCACGCAAAGTTCCGCACACTATCTCCGCTCGCCAAACGTCGATGATCGCTCGAGATAGGCGCTATCAACGCATCAAAAACTATCAAAGAAGGGCAGCTACAGTGGGACGCCACCAAGGGCTCCGTAGATTTTGAGAGTTCAAAATTAGAAGGCACGAAATTTCAGATAGTACGGTCATGTTTTTTATAACTATGGATAAATGTTGGGGGGGGGGGGGGGGAATTTCTAGATAAACAATGCCTTTTCATGAATCTCAGAGGTAATTACGTTCACGTAATGTCTCTCACGTAATTTCTCATACAAGCTTCATCAGAGGATAGCCGAATAATAAAATATCCTTTATGTAGTTCCTCACTTACTGAAACTCCACAGGTTATTTTTTCTTCAAACCTTGTGCCTTTGAGATTTTCCGCTGGAGCGCTTTACGACATTACTTATAGGCTCATTATTGATGACAAGGGGACTTTTCGTGATGCGACCTTTCCCCCACTTCAGCGCCAGTTGTCTCATGGTTATTATATTTTTATCATCATTCTTCCCTCCTTTGCCTCCTTATTCCCCATCCCTCTCACGTCGGTCCCCAACTTCCCGAGAATTCAGTTAACCAAGGTGGAGGGTGGAGGTAATGTACAACAAAAAGAGGTACGTAAACCAGCCGTTTCGGCGTTTCTGCTAGGGTCGTATGCTCAATGTTGGGAGGGATAGGAATTTCCGAGGTCGGGCGCGACTACATTGAGCGGGGCGGTCGCGCTACAGGTAGCGGAGTGATGAAGCAAGTGGTGCAGCTAAACAGCTCTGCCCAAAAGGAGTTCTGGTTTGGTTACCTACGGCTAAGCTTTTGGAGAGAGACGGCAGCCGGCTCTCTTGCAGGTGCGCCTCTCCTCGGGCTTACTTCCTGAGATAAGCATTCAAAATTAAAGGCGATATTCAAGGCGAAGGATCCGATTGAAGTAGAACGGCGTACCGTCCGGGACCCCATCCCCTCCCCAACATTCAGCATACGGCTCCAGCAGAAACGCCAAAAGGGCTGGTTCGCTTACTTCCAACAATAAATGGTCGTAATAATGCCAAGACTTTTCCATAAAACTCTCATTTTTAATCTTTTCGAAAACGAACCGTCTTAAGTTGCACCCTCCAATACCAACCCCCCCCCCACGAACAAGCTCAACACGATGGCTGTCCTCGATAATTTCCTTAGAGAACATTTTACCCAGTCTGACCTTATCGTATTCTTCAGCCAAACGTAGGAATGAAAAACCCACTGCCACGGACATGAACCAGAAACGAATCTTTCGCATGTTCCTCATCATGTACGCTCTCTATATGAGAATGAATATCAGAACACTAAGCTGGTAAATAAACAGCGCTTGAAACCTCAAAAACCCGGTAATATTCACATGATCAAAAATCCGGTAATATTCACGCCATCAGAAGTAGAACAGCTGATGTGATAAGCGTTAGAGAAAACAGGAACACTGATATGAACATTGCCGTGCCCCTCAAGCCATTGATTGCTTTCTATAGGCAATCAATCGTCTTCATTATTTTCGATTTAGTAAAAGAGCATCTGGACTTTTCTCTTCCCATACCATCGCATTTTTTCTTCATAACTAATACTCAGAAAATCCTCCCTTCTACTACGCTAGAAGAAGAAAGTTAACATTTCCTAAAAATATTGATAAGAAAAAATTTTGCTAAAAAAACCGGCGCTATCGCAAGATGCGGGGGCATTCTCTAAACTAAGCCTATTAAGGTTGTGGTACTTTGGGGAAATGAAAGTTACTTACGCACCCTAGTTCACTCCACTCCGTCCTAGGGCTTATTGTTAGTTCCCTTTTCAACAGAACGGAGATGTTTACGTGGAGTCGAATGCGTTCCCGTAACAATGACCCCTTATCTTGCGATAGCGCGTAAAAACCTACTTTCCAAGCTTTCCCAGAAAAAAATCTACATTTGGGCTGACTATGACAATACCAAATATGCGTTTTTATTAGTTCACTTTTAACACCTTCTCAGCTTGATTTCGTTGATTCTTCAAACGCTCATGATGTCAAAAAA